TACAACACTCCCCAATAGGAAGAAAACCCGCTGGGTTGTTCATACTTTGCGATGATTTCTGGGCTTAGCGTCTCCGCGGCCCGGTTCTCGACCAGGCCTTCTTGTTGCTGCACTGGTTAACCAGTCTGTTGGACGCGGCTGCTCAGTCTGACGTATGAATCACAGCCTGGTTGATCAGGTATTTTCAAGGCTGCCGTGGATGCTACGTATCCTTGTCTGTGAGGCTGAGGGGACTAGAAACACCACCCCCCCCCTTGTATAATATAAATATAAAATATATATATATATATATATATATATATATATATATATATATATATAATATATATATATATATATATATATATAATATAATATAATGCACAGACTACCCTATTCCAGTAGCTGAAGTTTATAACTTTTTAGACACTCAACCCACCAGGGGACTCGAACACTGGCCAACAAGGTGGCAGTTGCACGCTGTATCCACTACACCATACTTCAAAGTCATAAGAGAGGTAGGAATTCTGGGGTATTTAACCAACCAGAACTCCAATCCTCTCCCAGGCAATGAGATAGTGTGGGACCCCCGGTGCTCTTTCATCGAGCCCTGTTATATGGGAAAACTCGGTGACAAATGCTTAATGAGTTTTGAACAAATACAGCGTGCAACTGCCACCTTGTTGGCCAGTGTTCGAGTCCCCTGCTGGGTTGAGTGTCTAAAAAGTTATATATATATATATATATATATATATATATATATATATATATATATATATATATATATATATATATATATATATATATATATATATATAATTTTTTAAATACACACACATACATTGACACATTTTGGTTGATTAACGGTTTAGAGGCGGGACCATAGAGCCAGAGTTCAACCCCCGCAAGCACAAGTAGGCGAGTACACACACACACACACACACACACACACACACACACACACACACACACACACACACACATTAGTATTAGAAAGAACTTTTTTAGTGTCAGAGTGGTTGACAAATGGAATGCATTAGGAAGTGAGGTGGTGGAGGCTGACACCATACACAGTTTCAAGTGTAGATATGATAGAGCCCAATAGGCTCAGGAATCTGTACACCTGTTGATTGACGGTTGAGAGGCGGGACCAAAGAGCCAGAGCTCAACCTCCGCAAGCACAACTAGACGAGCACAACTAGGTGAGTACACACACACATGTAAAACAGACGTATATTACTGGATGTAGGCAGGTATATATAGCTGTCTCGTGTAACCACTGCAGATTGATTGTTAAATGGTGTCCTACACAACACGACGTTTGATCGATCATGGAGTTCTTGTCACTGGGGGGGGGGTGTCGTGGAGTGCTTGTCACTAAGGGGGGGGGGGTGTCGTGGAGTGCTTGTCACTAAGGGGGGGGGTGTCGTGGAGTGCTTGTCACTGGGGGGGGGGTGTCGTGGAGTGCTTGTCACTAAGGGGGGGGGGTGTCGTGGAGTGCTTGTCACGGGGGGGGGGGTGTCGTGGAGTGCTTGTCACTGGGGGGTGTCGTGGAGTGCTTGTCACTGGGGGGGGGGGTGTCGTGGAGTGCTTGTCACTGGGGGGGGTGTCGTGGAGTGCTTGTCACTGGGGGGGGGGGTGTCGTGGAGTGCTTGTCACTGGGGGGTGTCGTGGAGTGCTTGTCACTGTGGGGGGGTGTCGTGGAGTGCTTGTCACTGTGGGGGGGGTGGAGTGCTTGTCACTGGGGGGTGTCGTGGAGTGCTTGTCACTGTGGGGGGGGGTGGAGTGCTTGTCACTGTGGGGGGGGTGGAGTGCTTGTCACTGGGGGGTGTCGTGGAGTGCTTGTCACTGTGGGGGGGGTGGAGTGCTTGTCACTGGGGGGGGGGGGTGTCGTGGAGTGCTTGTCACTGTGGGGGTGTCGTGGAGTGCTTGTCACTGTGGGGGGGTGGAGTGCTTGTCACTGGGGGGTGTCGTGGAGTGCTTGTCACTGTGGGGGGGGGTGGAGTGCTTGTCACTGGGGGTGTCGTGGAGTGCTTGTCACTGTGGGGGGGGTGGAGTGCTTGTCACTGTGGGGGGGGGGTGCCGTGGAGTGCTTGTCACTGGGGGGGGGTGTCGTGGAGTGCTTGTCACTAGGGGGGGGGTGTCGTGGAGTGCTTGTCACTGGGGGGGGGGTGTCGTGGAGTGCTTGTCACTGGGGGGGGTGTCGTGGAGTGCTTGTCACTGGGGGGGGGGTGTCGTGGAGTGCTTGTCACTGGGGGGTGTCGTGGAGTGCTTGTCACTGGGGGGGGGGTGTCGTGGAGTGCTTGTCACTGGGGGGGGTGTCGTGGAGTGCTTGTCACTGGGGGGGGGGTGTCGTGGAGTGCTTGTCACTGGGGGGTGTCGTGGAGTGCTTGTCACTGTGGGGGGGTGTCGTGGAGTGCTTGTCACTGTGGGGGGGGGTGGAGTGCTTGTCACTGGGGGGTGTCGTGGAGTGCTTGTCACTGTGGGGGGGGGGTGGAGTGCTTGTCACTGTGGGGGGGGTGGAGTGCTTGTCACTGGGGGGTGTCGTGGAGTGCTTGTCACTGTGGGGGGGGTGGTGGAGTGCTTGTCACTGGGGGGGGGGGTGTCGTGGAGTGCTTGTCACTGGGGGGTGTCGTGGAGTGCTTGTCACTGTGGGGGGGTGTCGTGGAGTGCTTGTCACTGTGGGGGGGGTGGAGTGCTTGTCACTGGGGGGTGTCGTGGAGTGCTTGTCACTGTGGGGGTGTCGTGGAGTGCTTGTCACTGTGGGGGGGTGGAGTGCTTGTCACTGGGGGGTGTCGTGGAGTGCTTGTCACTGTGGGGGGGGGTGGAGTGCTTGTCACTGGGGGGTGTCGTGGAGTGCTTGTCACTGTGGGGGGGGTGGAGTGCTTGTCACTGTGGGGGGGGGGGTGCCGTGGAGTGCTTGTCACTGGGGGGGGGGTGTCGTGGAGTGCTTGTCACTAGGGGGGGGGGTGTCGTGGAGTGCTTGTCACTGGGGGGGGGGGTGTCGTGGAGTGCTTGTCACTGGGGGGGGGGGTGTCGTGGAGTGCATGTCACTGGGGGGGGGGGGTGTCGTGGAGTGCTTGTCACTGGGGGGTGTCGTGGAGTGCTTGTCACTGGGGGGTGTCGTGGAGTGCTTGTCACTGGGGGGGGTGTCGTGGAGTGCTTGTCACTGGGGGGGGTGTTGTGGAGTGCTTGTCACTGGGGGGGGTGTCGTGGAGTGCTTGTCACTGTGGGGGGGGGGTGGAGTGCTTGTCACTGTGGGGGGGGGTGGAGTGCTTGTCACTGGGGGGGGGTGTCATGGAGTGCTTGTCACTGGGGGGTGTCGTGGAGTGCTTGTCACTGGGGGGGAGGGGGGTGTCGTGGAGTGCTTGTCACTGGGGGGGTGTCGTGGAGTGCTTGTCACTGGGGGGGGTGTTGTGGAGTGCTTGTCACTGGGGGGGGGTGTCGTGGAGTGCTTGTCACTGTGGGGGGGGGGTGTCGTGGAGTGCTTGTCACTGGGGGGGGGTGTCGTGGAGTGCTTGTCACTGGGGAGGGGTGTCGTGGAGTGCTTGTCACTGGGGGGGGGGTGTCGTGGAGTGCTTGTCACTGGGGGGGGGGTGTCGTGGAGTGCTTGTCACTGGGGGGGGGTGTCGTGGAGTGCTTGTCACTGGGGGGTGTCATGGAGTGCTTGTCACTGGGGGGGGGGTGTCGTGGAGTGCTTGTCACTGGGGGGTGTCGTGGAGTGCTTGTCACTGGGGGGTGTCGTGGAGTGCTTGTCACTGGGGGGTGTCGTGGAGTGCTTGTCACTGTGGGGGGGGGTGGAGTGCTTGTCACTGTGGGGGGGGGTGGAGTGCTTGTCACTGGGGGGGGTGTCATGGAGTGCTTGTCACTGGGGGGGGTGTCGTGGAGTGCTTGTCACTGTGGGGGGATGTCATGGAGTGCTTGTCACTGGGGGGGGTGTCGTGGAGTGCTTGTCACTGTGAGGGGGGTGTCGTGGAGTGCTTGTCACTGTGGGGGGGTGTCGTGGAGTGCTTGTCACGGGGGGGGGGGGGTGTCGTGGAGTGCTTGTCACTGGGGGGGGGTGTTGTGGAGTGCTTGTCACAACCACCGCTTGTCACTTCCCCGGGGGGGGGTGTCGTGGAGTGCTTGTCACTAGGGGGGGGTGTCGTGGAGTGCTTGTCAGTAGGGGGGGGTGTTGTGTGTCCACAACCACCGTCTTCCCCGGGTACCCTCCACAACCACCGTCTTCCCCGGGTACCCTCCACAACCACCGTCTTCCCCGGGTACCCTCCACAACCACCGTCTTCCCCGGGTACCCTCCACAACCACCGTCTTCCCCGGGTACCCTCCACAACCACCGTCTTCCCCGGGTACCCTCCACAACCACCGTCTTCCCCGGGTACCCTCCACAACCACCGTCTTCCCCGGGTACCCTCCACAACCACCGTCTTCCCCGGGTACCCTCCACAACCACCGTCTTCCCGGGTACCCTCCACAACCACCGTCTTCCCCGGGTACCCTCCACAACCACCGTCTTCCCCGGGTACCCTCCACAACCACCGTCTTCCCCGGGTACCCTCCACAACCACCGTCTTCCCCGGGTACCCTCCACAACCACCGTCTTCCCCGGGTACCCTCCACAACCACCGTCTTCCCCGGGTACCCTCCACAACCACCGTCTTCCCCGGGTACCCTCCACAACCACCGTCTTCCCCGGGTACCCTCCACAACCACCGTCTTCCCCGGGTACCCTCCACAACTACTGTAAACACACCCACTAGTCGTTCCTTGTTCATTAGTGTCTCTGATCATCCACCAGCGTGTGCTTATGTTCACTGGGTTCTGCATTGCTCTAGTCTCTTCTCATTCTAATAATGTTCCCCTTGTTGTGCCCTATACCCATCTTAAGAGGCGTCTACCAGCAGAAACCCTCGCGATCAGTTATCGTGCAATTGATACATGTACACCAAGTTCCTTTAAAGTTGGTGTCATCTGCTTTAGAAGTATTTGAATGCACTAATATTGGAATGTTGTCATTGCAGAGGATAAAGGCGGATCCTGGGATTGGGAGACGGGCTTGTCCTACGAGTGCCGAACGCTTCTCTTTAAGGCACTACACAACCTCATTGAACGGTAAGAGTTCCCTTTTTGCATAGCTTTCTGTTGCATTTTGTCAGTATAGTTATGGTGAACATGATCTGATGAACAAGTCATATGGTGAATGCACTTGTGGCGCACATGTAAAGAAAATTTTAGGTCTAATATCGGAACTAATTTGTTAATAAATTAAACAATTCATGGATTTGCAATGATTAATGTGCATTACTGAGCTGAGCTGCTATTGCCCCCCCCCCTTGCCTCGCCCACTCTGCTCCCTCCCATAGCTCATCTGAACCCCTTGCTTTACATGGTTTGTCCCCAAGGTATTAACTCAGACGCTCTTCTACTGTGGGTAGAATTCATCAAGCACTTAAGGGTTCGGCTAGGAGAACATGTACATCTTAACTCGGTTATGGCGGCAATACTCAATTGCGGAGATTAGAAGAGCTGGGTATACGAAGGTTGTCTATAGCAATAATAACCCTGGGGGTCTGAAACAGCCTCGCAGTGTGTCCAAGCTCGTAAACTTTTTAAAAAATGCAGACTTAAAGTTGCCAAGATCGAGTAAAGGTGCACAGGTCTCGTAAGTGAATACTTAAGTGCTGATAAATCATGGTGCAGGTTCCACATCACTGCTTGGTAAACAGTGGTAAACAGTAATAAAAAATAAAAAAAGTTTGGTGCTCAATCTTCATCCTCTTTCCCCATCCCCATGACAATAATCTGAACCGTTCTTGCTTGTATGGTGAGTGCGTCAGGGTGCTTTATCTTCCTCACTCTCAACCATCCTCATCCTTCCCTGTCGGCCTCCTTTTCTCTCCCTCCCTCCCTCTCCCTATTAGTCTCTTCCTCCCTGTCAGTCCCTCCCCCCCCCTCTTCATTTCTCCCTCCCTATCTCTTTATCCTCCCTTCCTGCCCTGTCTGCCTTCCCCCCTCCCTCCCCCACCTCTCCCTGTCACTTATCACCCCTCTTTTTCTTGTGGTTACCTTGTATTGGTTCCGAGGATTGACGTCCTACATCCAGTCTCTGACCAAGCCTCTGATTGGAGGTCTGGTCAACCAGGCTGTTGAATGCGCCTGCTCACAGCCGGACATGTGAATCACAGCTTTGTTGATCAGGTATCCTTTGGAGGTGTTTATCAATTAACTTTTGAACACCATGAGAGTTTAACCAGTTACGCTCCTTATGTGTAGTGTGTGTTGAAAAGTCTTGGGCCCCCTTGAGTTCTTTCAAGGGGGCCCAATAGTTGAGTTTGATAATTCTTTCAACATATCTATTGCAACTCTGCTTTTCAATGGGGCTATTTTGCATGTCCTCCCATGCCTCATGGTTTCATGTACATATTTTTGTCTGCAGAGTTGGAACCAGCCCCCCATAATATTTTCAGTGTAAATTGTTATTTGTAACATACAGCTGCTAGTTTTTTTTCTCTACATCATTGTGTAATCTTTCATATTGAATAGGGTAGCAGCACATTGCTGTATATACCTAAGCCTGTTGGTATTATTAATAATAATAATAATAATAATAATAATAATAATAATAATAAAAATAATTAAAATAATAATAATAATAAAAAATCTCACCTGTGCTCTAGAGAATACTGTACAGCTTGAGAAATTTGAATTGTTTGCAATAATTTAGGCAGTGAAAAAAGATCTCTGGACGTTCCCTAGGTCAGCTTTGGATGAGGCTGTTAGTGTGCAATATTATTTCACTCTAGAGAGCACTAGTGTCTTAAAAATACCATCATTAGTTTGGCATCTTTTCTTTCAAAGGTTCTTATTATCCAAAATGTCTAATTTTCTTGCAGTAGTGGCGGCTACTTTGTGTTCATGAAAAGTAACATGTTTTAGTATCATTACTTCCTTTTATGGTGCTTTTTTACTTTTTTACTGTGTGATTTAACTTCCTTTCATGTGTGGTTTCCCTTTTGATATTTTCCTTTTTCTGTAGTGGAGTAGCTGAAGTTTTTCTTCATTGAACAGTTTGTTTCCTCTATTTTGCTTACTGTCATGAAACTCCTACTGTTCCTTGCAAAAGATGATACAGTACATTACATTTGTTTTGTCATCTCCCCCTGTCAGTCATTATCATAATCACTTTCCACCAATTTTTTCGTCTTCCCCCACCCACCCACCCACCCCTCCCCTTGCCCTCTTCATTGGACAGAACCTTTCCATGGCCGAGTTGTAGGGCTCGTCTCCAAAAGCACAGTATAAGAACTGAGAAAAATATGCAGCCTTCTACGTCATTGCTGCTCTATAAACAATTCAAACAATCAAAATGAGAAAATGTTGTTTCAATCATGGTGTTGATAAAGTGTGTGACGTTACTATGATGTCAATGTTCATGATGATGCAAGTTTTAGATCCTACTGGTTGAGTTAGACTTGCAAAACTATTCTTGCCATTTCTTCGTCTATTTCTATTTCTTCGGAAATAGACCCAGGTACTCCCCTAGTTGTGCTTGTGGGGGTTGAGCCTCAGCTCTTTGGTCCCACCTCTCGACTCTCTCTAAATTCTCTCTCTCAATTGTCTCTTCTCTTCTCTTCCGGGTGTGCTAAACATGGACCATGCGTGAAGGAATGATCCTTTGGTTTCTTTTTCATCTTTCATGATGGAAGTTAATGATTCTAATATCCACTCTATTTGTGCAATAATGCAATAACACAAACACCACAACCAAAACAATGACCATAATTATTACCACCACAAATAATACAAGTACTGTACATCATAAAGTTTAACCTTGCAACTCCTGATGTAATGTTGACCGTACTGTACATTCAGACGTGTGTACTATTTTAGTCGCTTCTGGAATACCAAAGTTCGACTGTCTTTAACCCTAAGAGTGTGGCTGTTATAAATTAATGTACGAGGGTTCGTATGAGGTCACAGTGAGTTTTAAGTCACTTGACATAGATGGGTTTACATAAAGTTAATGCAGCTTATGTCAGTTGGCATTTTTACTTCAGAAATTCATGTTGGGTTTTGCTTATAAATCCCTATAATTACCACAATTCGATATTTCTCTGGGTAGGGTATTGTTACCTAATAAAAAGATAGACCTTGTTATGATACATATAAGTTATTAATTAGAAAATGTTTGAAATCTGGTGGCACTGTACACCAATATATTTTTGTAAATTATTTTTTTTTTTAATGTAGAATTGCACATACTGTACAGGAGATCTTTGGCTAGAAGACTTCTACTCCTAATGGTTAAGCTTTCTTGGCAACTATTGTAAGGTGTGTTTACCCCCTTTGTCTTAAACACATGCCTTATTTTCTTAAAAAAAAAAAATCGTTATTCATTAAAATCCAAAATCCATTATTTTCACAAAATCCTAATTTTGAGAACTATGTACCATATTTGGCCTTGTGTAAGACCCACCTGTCTGGCAAGGATATTTTGTCGCAACTCTTTTGTTTCAGCTTACAATTTGTGAACCTAATTTTGAAATGATTTTGTGGCTATAAATACAGTACTGTATATGTATGCATTTGGTGTGGTGGTCATAAGATGTGTGTCGTATTCACTGGAAAATTGGGGATACTGTGCCTATGTCATGTTGTTTTTATTTGATCACAAGTAGATAACTGATGTGGTGTTTCTTTCAGTATTTTAGTGCACAGAATGTTTCCAATCTGCAGATTAATTTATTTGTTTCAGATGTCTTCTATCACGTGATTTTGTGAGGCTGGGTCGCTGGTTTGTGCAGCCTTATGAGGGCCCAGAGGGTATCCCGGGAAGTAGTAGGTCAGATATTTATTATTTTTGTCTCATAAATGAGGATTTTGTGTTATAAAATGCATACTTCCAGTTTGCTATAACAAAGCATGAATAACATTTAGTAAGTTATCACACCTGAAGAATCTAAATGGAAACATTTATTTTTTCCATTTGCAGCACCCACTTGTCCTTCAGTTTGTCATTCTTTGTCCATGGCGAGAGCATTGTTTGTGCGAGTGTAGATGTGCGGCAGCATCCGCCAGTACGACAACTAACCAGGCAACATTTATTGCTGGCACAACAAACCAACCACGGCATACCAGGTACTGTGAGCAGTGTGTGTTAACCCATCAAACACACAACATAACCACAATACTTTTTAAGTTGTAGCAACATTGTTGTTATATATATTGTGTGTGCTGGGTTGCAGTGATTAACTATGAAATGATTTCACTGTACTGTATTACATTAACATTGATGCATTTGAGCACCCAAGTGTTCAAAAGTTGACTACTTATTTATCCACTAATGTTTCCTGCTTTAATTGTATTCAAATTGTATATGCCATATTTGTGTTATGATTAAAATGTAAAAACAAGGCCATAATTAAAGTGTGAGAAATTTATTTTGTAAATATGAATAATTATGGTTAGTGTTATTTATATTCTGCAGAGTCAATACTCGGTAGCAATATTATTTTAATACAGGGGTATCTCAGTTTAAGAGTTTAATCCATTCCTGGAGACAGCTTGTAATCCAAAAACTTGTAAGCCGAAGCTAATTTCCCCATAAGAAATATTTGGAAATGAATTAATCCGTTCCTGACTACCCAAAACCTCACTTCAAACTAAATTTTATACAGTACCTAATTCATCCAAATCTACACTACAAAAGTATGTTCAAGTTATTACTCTCCATTGTTGATGACTCCTGTTAGTGTATGGAAGATGGTGAGGAGGAGGGAGGAGGAGAGGTGTTACTGTTTGGAAGGGGAGTCCCCTTCCCTTATAACATCAGGCAGTAAAGATTTTTCTGGAGTGCACTCTCTGGCACGTTTTGCCTGCATACCACTAGATCCTGGTTGTGGCTCACTGCTTGATTTTCTCACAACGAAACGATCCATTGAAGATTGTTTTTCTCTTCTTTGCAACACTTGCCTGTAGTAAGACATCACATTGTCATTTAAAAGGTCAATGCAACGGCCTGCTACAGCTTTATCTGGGTGAGTTTTGTCAACTAAATTTTGTAGTTCGTCCCATACTTCTTCACACATTTTCTTAATGAAGAAGGGACATCCTCTACTGCCTCTACTCTCAACTATTTTCTTAGGTTGAACCTTAACACTTTCTTTCTTGGGACCCATGGCGAGATATATAACAACATCTTTTATGCTCAAATGACCAAAAATCCGACAAAAAACTGTAAATCCGTGTGAAGAATTCAGATGGGATAGTCACTGGGCGCAAGGCTCTGGTAAACTGAGGGGGGATCACGTGCCACCAAGCGCTAGGTCAGCCTGTACATGTATCAACACCCTCGTATTCCGAGGCAACGTTCGTACAGTGGGGCCTCGATTTACGATGGTAATCCGTTCCCAGAGACATGTCATAAGTCAAAATATCATAAGTTGAAGCGATTTTTCCCATAAGAAACGATTCTTGTCTTGCTTGTCTTACTAAGAATCTGTCTAAAGACATTTGTTTTTCCCTACATTTTAACACTTGTCTGTAGTAAGACATTACATTGTCATTTAAAGGTCAATGCAATGGCCTGCTACAGCTTTATCTGGGTGAGTTTTTTCAACAAAACTTTGCAGTTCTTCCCATACTTCACTCATTTTCTTAATGAGGAAGGGACATCCTCTACTGCCTCTACTCACAACTATTTTCGTAGGTTGAACCTTACCACTGACTTTCTTGGGACCCATGGCGTGATATATAATAATCAGTTTTATGTTCAAAAGGCAAAAAATCCCTACAAAAATGGAATTTCTTATAGGCGTGATCGTCACTAAGCGGGCAGCTATAGTAAACTGTGGCAGGTCGGCTCGCGTGACCGGGAACCACGCGCTCGGTCGACCCAAACGTGTACCAACAAATATCGTTAGTCGACGATACTATCTTAAGTCGAGTCTCATTTTTCAATCAAATTTACATCGTAACTCGAAATTATCGTAAGTCGGGGCAATCGTAAGTCGAGGTGCCACTGTATTCCGATGTAAATTTTCCAAGCAAATCCTGCTCATAATCCAAAAAACTTGTAAACAGGAACACTCATAATCCGAGGGACCACTGTATAATCTCATATTAAGAAAGTTTTGAAAATTTGGAACTTGGCTGCATTAGTTGAGCACATAAATACAGGTTTGGTACTGCAATAAAGGCACATTTGGTAATGGCAGAAACTTAATCCACATGCAATTTTTTCAGCATCCCAGAATAATCAATGAGTTTAGTTTGTTTACTGGTACCGAAGATTACGCATGTGATAGGTTAGCCGAGTGTGATTCATTGTTGTGCATGTATACTGTTTTTCCCCTCAAATGTTCAACTCTTGTGTACTAAAAAATGGCATTCCTGTAATGCATTTTATTTTGGTGTGTGGGTGTTATTTATACATAAGAAAATAATCAAAATATATACAAAAATTTAAATGCCCAGTATAATCAAAGGTCAGATAAGCATGAACAGTAGACCTGTGCAGCCAGCCAATCCAAGAGGAAGCGAGTTCAGCTCTTCAGTTTTAATAACAAAGTGATTAACTGAAAACCAATCAAAACCTTCCTGAAATATGTCGGGAAGAGCAGCTCGATAATGCGAACTTGAACTAGTGCTAGCCCAACCACTTGGACTGGGTGGTAGAGTGATGGTCTCACTTCTTTGCAGGTAGAGGTTCACTCCTCGAATGTACAAGTGGTTGGGCACCATTCCTCTCTCCTTCCCCCTATCCTGAATCCTTATCCTCGCATCACTTCCAAGGGCTGTTTTGTCATAATGGCATGGTGCCTTTCTCCTGATCTTGCCTTTAACCAATAATTTGAGAAAATAGGCACAATAGCAATAGAAATATGTGTAAGTTATACACCACTAAGAATGGAGAGAAAAAGATGCAGACTGGAATGAGAACGGCATTCCCTTTATAGGAGAAGAAAACAAATCACAATGTCTCAAATGATCCATTCAATCCCAAAGAATGTCAAGGAAGGCTATGTAGAGAAATATATACAATTAAGCTAAAGCTGCAAGAATCGTGTAACATCCAGGAGAGGCAGAGACCAGAATGCCTTTAGTAAAATAGAGAAGAATCCAAAATAAACATGAATAAATCCACCAGGGCCGTGACGAGGGTTCGAACCTACGTCTGAGAGGATCCCAGATGCTACCTTAATCGACTGAGCTACGACATGGTTAAAAGAATTGCAACCAGGAGTTCTACTAACCTTTCTCGGATCCTGCAGCCTCTCCGAGACACAGACCAGGGTTTTACACAATTTCCCCATGCACCCGAGCTATATCAATAAGCTGTTCTACCTCTTCGCCCTTACTTTATTACACTGAAGTAAGGGGAATTGTGTAAAACCCTGGTTTGTGTCTCGGAGAGGCTACAGGTTCCGAGTAAGGTCAGTAGAACTTCTGGTTGCAATTCTTTTAACCATGTCGTAGCTCGGTCGATTAAGGCAACGTCTGGGATCTTCTCAGACGTAGGTTCGAACCCTTGTCACGGCCCTTGTGAATTTGTTCATTTTGATGCATCACATTATTGTGATTTTTGTGTGTAATCCAAAATACTTCATTCTAAAACTAGAAGAAAACTACATATAGCATTGAACTCTTGTGCAAGGGTGATGAAACTTGCAGACGAGGAGTCACAATAACGTGGCTGAAATATGTTGACTGAACCACACACTAGAAAGTGAAGGGACGACGACGTTTCGGTCTGTCCTGGACCATTCTCAAGTAGATTGTGAGAATGGTCCAGGACAGACCGAAACATTGTGATGGAACTTTCTCAATGACAACCAAAAAAATGAGTGAAATATTGAGGCTACAGTATGATTCTATTATTCAGTGAACCCCTGAATACATTAAAGATCAGTGATACAAACAAAATCTTTATGAATGTGAAACCAACATTGAATCATATATCAGGTGTCACTAATTCTATTAGATTTTGAACTACAGTAGGCATAAGCAGCATGCCCATGCACTCTGTGCCAGGCCTGGACTCCTGGAATACTATATTCAAGAATTGCAAAAAAACACTATCACAGGCCCTAAACATGGGGCCTGTGATTTGGGGATGGAGCCCCGATATTGGTGTTATTCTTGACATTCTTGAAACAGCAGAGGTCAAGCCTGGCCCTGGGCCGAGCTTGGGGAGGACAGCTACTGAAACCTCATCCAGGTACTATCTAGGTTCAACACTTCACAAAGGAGGTAGCAAAGCAGATGTAAATTTTATAGACAAATATCTCTTAACATCACACACCGTGAAAATCTCTGAATGAGTGCTAAGAATTGCTAAGAAATAAGATACCAACACATATGGAATGCAGTGTCTACTCAACCCTGGACAAAATGGGCTCAAAATAGGGCACTTCTGACCACTATGACATCACTTTAGATGCCATGGAAGACTAGCAAAACGCTGATGTAATGTACAGATTTCGTAAAAGCTTTCGACAAATGTGACCACTGTGTTATTGCACATAAAATGTGCACAAAAGTAATTACTTTCAAAGTAGGGAGATGTATCTCAAACATCCTAACAAACAGAACCCAGAGTGTAATACAGAGTCAACAAAGTAAAATCCGGATCATCCATCATGAAACGCTTGGTGTCCCAGGGTACTTTTTCTGTTCTGGTATTTTTCTCATCCTCATATCAGACAGACAAGGATACAAACTATAGCACTCTATCATCCTTTGCAGATGACTTTGGAATTTTCACGAGAATAGACAATATAGAGCAGAGGTCGCCAACCTTTCGGAGTTCACTGATCACTAAATTCATTATTTTAAATACCGCGGACCACTAATATGAATCCCGCAGTCCACCAAATAAGAAATGATAATTATTAAAGCAAACTATTTGATGCCATTAAATGTAACAGTTAAAGGAAATAGTTACAATACACTAATAAAATTATTTGTAAATTGTAAAATTGTGTTTGCAGAGGAGACTGCAAACCTCCAATCTGATGTTGAACAGGTCTTTTCAGTAGGCCACAGAAAATAACAATGTTTAATGAGGACAAGTTTCAGCTCCTGCATTTTGGAAAAAAAAATATCAACATGGAAACCACTTATAAAATTCAGTCAAACCACACTGTTGAAAGAAAAAGCAATGTTAAAAAGAGTTGAATGTACAGTAGTCGTGTCAGAAGACCTTATATTTACCGTAAAATATGCAATAAAGTATCCTTCACAACTGCAAGAAAAATAACAGGTTGAATATGAATAACAAGAAGCTTTGAAACAAGATATTCCGCACCAATGATACTTATTAAGAAACTAGGGCTCTCTTGAGTGGAATATTGTTACACAATAACAGTCCCATTCAAAGCTGGAGAAATTGCTGACCTGAAGAGAGTGCGTAGGTCTTTTACTGCTTGAATTCACTCGATAAAACATCTAAATTATTTGAACTGCTTAAAGATTTTAAATTTGTATTCTCTGCAAAACAGGCAAGAGAGATACATAATTATTTACAATTGGAAAATACTACGACTGGTTTCAAATCTGCACACGAAAATAACACCACACGAGACCATGAGGTATGAAAGGATGTGCTATTGAAAAGCAGAAGTGCAATAGGTACGCTGAGAGAGAACTCTATCAATATCAAGGGGCCCAAGAATTTAAGTCTCCCACTATACATAATTGGCCGATCTCTCACAGTGTTCAAGAGAGAACTTGATAAGCATCTTCTAAGGATACCTTTGGATACCAGGCTTGTGATTCATGTCAGGATGCAAGCAGCTATGTCCAAGAGTCTGGTTGACCAGACCACCAACCTGGAGGCCTGGTCATAGTTCGGTCCACTGGGATGTCGATACCCAGAATCAACAAGATAGTCAACAGGGGACTTCGAGCGATATCTTAATAGCGATTTTTTATGGCCGGTTAAGTTTTACACTTGTGCTATGGGATAATTTCATTACAGTAATATAAATACTACACTTACCCTACGAGGAGGCCTGGTCGACGACCGGGCTGTGGGGACGCTAAGCCCCGAAAACCTCAACTCTTGCTTATCATCTCCAACAAATGCTACCAAGTGACATATTACCTTAAATTGATAAGTTTAAATAATCAAACCAAGAATTAATGAAACTGCAGAAGAACATTCCTGTTTTATTTCCTGTCTAATGTTACCTGGTAATTTGTTTCATAAATCAACCCAATTTCTGAACCAATATTTACCCAAGTCTTTATCTGAATGAACATTTTAGCAGTTTATACAGTTTATATTTTGCCCTGTTCTCAATAACATGATCAATTCAGCATTGATCTTGGAAGAAAAATCATTAACATTGATTGATGTTAACTATTTATTGGATAAGGGAGGGCAGGGCATTCTATATAGATCCATAGAAAAGATAGTGAAGTACTGTACTGAACTGGTTTTTTTTTTTTTTAGAACTGCCATATTTTTAATGGCAAAAGTTACAAGGGATCTAAGGAATTGAACTAATATAAATTAAAGAATAGTTTATTAAACATTAATGCCTCTTACGTTTATTTTCAGTGATCTTGGGTCCTTATGGGCTGAGTGGCACGCTTACTGGTGTCAGTTACCACCATTCTGAACCTCCCATACAAAAACTTTTGGAAGATTGGAGGCAGTTTTTTCCTGTTGAAGCTAAAGTTCCACCCATTGATATTTTGGAGCCTGATCTTCCTGCAGCTGTTGAAGTTATTGTAGGTAAGTGTTTGAGAAATATAACATTTTCTGTGGCTAGATGTGTCTGGAAATAACCATCCACAGGTCAGAGAACTACTTAGTTTCTGTATACAAAATTCCCCTCAACTAGCAGGTAAGAGAGCCAACTTGGACAGACAATATTCTAGTTTGGATCTTCACAAACAATGAAGAAATAATCAGGGACATTACAATCTCAGATATCCCCATACTCAAATCACAAGCTCACTGAAGTGCAAACTAATATTAATATGTGTAATAGGTCTAAGAAAATGATCAAGTTAGAGCGGTTAGTTACAAGAGTTCTTACATTCTTGTACAGCCACTAGCACGCATAGCGTTTCGGGCAAGTCCTTAATCCTAATTTTCACACACACACCCAGGAAGCAGTCCGTAGCAGGTGTCTAATGCCCAGGACTTATTTACTGCTAGGAGAACAGGGACATAAGGGTGAAAGAAACTGCCCCTTTGTTTTTGCCTCTGCCAGGGATCGAACCTGGACCCTTAGGACTCTGAACTCAGAGCGCTGTCCATTCAGCCGTCAGACCCCCCAGGCCATCAAGCAATAAAAATTTTTAATAATAAAAGGATAGATTGGGAAAAATAAACATGTAACTTTCCAACATTAAATGAGAAACTGTTCTAAGTGTAGCAGATATATTATATCAGTAATATACTTGCTCCATATTCTCATTAGCTTATGTGCAAATAATGAGATGGGTCTGTTAATTGTACTTGGTCCACTGGTTACAATTATTACCTCTTCCCAAACCTGGTAGAGGATGGTCAGGTGAGGTGTGAACTGGTAATATAACCAGTTGATAGCAAATCATCATCAGTCTAACTCCAAGAGTGGTTTAGTACTGATGCTTGCGAGATATCGCACATCTTCAACACCATCGATATTCAGCATGCACTTGACTCACCATCACACCATTGCTCGCCAAGTGACGTAACAATAAAACGTTACATGGGTAATGAAAATCCAATGCAAGGAATAGAACAACTGACTGCCGAAGTACCCCTGTATATAAAGTCTTGAGTTATGTTCCTTTGCGGAAAGCCAGAAAGAGGATCAGCTTAGAGAATGCAGATGACACTACATAAACAGAAAAAAATAATGGAAATGCTTAAGCAGTCACGACTATCTATACAAAGAAAATAATTTAAATGGGGAGATTGAAGAAACAGACAAGCAATGATATCAGATTGAAGAAATGCAATTACTGTAGAACAGAAAGCCATACAAGCAATAAAGAAAAATTCAAAATACTTCTTCACTTACAATCAAAATAAGACCTTTGTCATTATTGGACTTTTACTTACAAGTAAAGGTTCATACACAAAGGATGACAAAGAAATTAGTGAAATACTTTAAAAGCAGTATGAGGACATGTTTAGCACCCCTAATAAACAGAATGAAAGTGGAAGATGCGGGCAGCTTCTTTATTCATGATATCCAAACCCCTGAAAATATAATTGATATCAACATGAAATCTGCCGATTTTGAAAGAGAAATTAACAGCGTGCCCATGCATTCGGCCCATAGACCAGATTCATGAATTCAATATTTATAAAGAAATGCAAAGTGCCAGTAGCGCAAGCACTTAGTGTAGTGTGGCGATAAAGCTTGGACACAGGGCAGATACCAGATGAACTTAAATCAGCAAACATAGCTCCTCTACGCAAGGAAAGGAGGAAACAATTGGCTAAGAACTATAGACCAGTGGCACAAACATCCCCCACAAAAGTTTTTGAGTGAGTTATCAAGAGTAAGAACTGCAGTTTAATGAGACTTTTGACCTCCATAACCCAGGTCAACATGGAGGTACAGCGGGGTGGTAATACAGTACTGTACCTTTCCCAGCTACCGAGTTCATCTCGGTGATAACCTTCATCAAAATTACTGTACTGTCTTGTGTTTACGACACACCTCTGATTAAAGTGTACATATTTTACAAAGGTATTTTGTGAAATTTTTGTGAAATAAAACTAATTTTGTTTGCAAGTGCATCCTCTCCACGGTGCATTATCTCAAGCTTAGTAGTACTACTCTTTGCTCCAGATATTCTTGTAGCAACAAGTGCTTTGTTAATGCTGCATTTGTTTCCACACGGCTTCTCTGTTAGCACTCCAGTGTTCCATTGACTTAACACATCACCTGTTGTGTTTTGCTTCATTCATCTTTGCTCATTTAAAAAAATTGTGTGAATATGAAATGAAGAAATGTTTATAAACTTTCCTAAATATGATATAGCACATCACACACCCAGGATAGTTTTATCTCTTCTTTCTAAGCTCCCAAAAATTAATTTTTAAAAATTTGGATTGTTAAATCAGTGTTCTAACTGTATAAATAGTTTGAAATTCATAATTAGCAATAAACTTTTTGCATATTGCATCACCTTTAGTCAGTTGTTTTCCTTAAAAATGACTCATTACATAGTTTTTGAAGAATTCCTCTTCACAAAAAAAATTAAAGAAAAGACAAAACACTATTGACTGCTCACTTCAATGTCACATATTATAAAGATCTTTGAGAGGATGATAGAAAGTCAAAAGTCAAATCTGTAATGAAAATATCTGTAATGACTTTTCTATAGAACAGAAATATTTATAATTTATAATATGAAGGCAATAGATATTTCTACTTCTCAGTAGATATTTCTACTGGTCAGAAGGCGAGACAACCACCCACCCACAAGCGTGTGTACCTCAAGGAAGGGGCTCTCTCTCAAATTGATGCTGTTGGTCTTCAGAAATTCACAGAAAATATATTCACAATACAATCTTCACCTTTTCCTAATGTACAATTTGAGCATTCATATGCCATAATTATTTTGATGCTAGAATGATAAAATACGACATTTGTTGCACAAACGTAAAATAATCATTCACTTGCAGAGATCCTCCTGTACCCATGCACCACCACCTTTCCCAGACAATTGCATTCTAGCTACAATAACTCATTCTCTTTATGAATTCTCTCATTATTTCATTGTGCAGTATTTATTCTTTATGCTGGGAGGTGCTTTGATAGTGTAATTTGGTGCAAGTACTCATTGTAAACACAGTACAAGGTCTGTACCATGTACCTGAGGGCAATTTGCAATTGAGCAGTGAGTAGAACAAAGCCTACTGAGGAGAGGAGTTATTGCTCCAAACAACAGCCTGGTGGACCAAACTCTCACAAGTCAAGCCTGGCCTCGGGCCGGGCTTGGGGAGTAGAACAATTCCCAGAACCCCATCAACCCTGCTTCCTCACCACTGCATCACTCGACCCAACACTTGTTGTTACATCCCACACTCTGAGCCACTTCCCACAACCATGCAACATCTTGCCGATTGCCAGAACCCACATACATTGCCACTTCCCACATTCATCATCAGTACCCCATACCGGTAGCAACTTTCCAAATTCATCATCAATGCCCCATACCATTGGCAGTTTCCCATATTCACTGGCAGTACCTCCACACCGCTGGCTACTTTTCACATTCATAGCCAGTACCTCAGTTCCCAAATTAATAGCGTTAATATCTTGTTTATTCTTATGTATCAAATTAATGTATTACTCCTATTCTTTCAGGTGGACACAAGATGCGTTACCCAACATCTTACGTGTTAGTGACGGACATGGATGACTACCTGATGGCGAGTCGAGGCGGAAGTATAATAAATGTGGGACAGATGGCTCCAGGGGGCCTTAAGGGTGGGCTAGCAAATGAAAGCTCTTCAGAGGGTAGTGATGGGTCCAACCTTCCCACCCATAATTCTCCCTTCACTGCTTCAACTCATACATTATTAGCTTCGGAGTATCTAAGTTGCGGTGGACGAGGTTTAGGGTGGTCTCGTGGAATGTGCGAACGCGTTTGGCAAGATATAGTACAATGTCCAGGTCAGCAGCCTCCAGTACAGCATGATGGCCTCACTCCAGAAGGAACGTTGACACCTGCTGAGATAGCCGGCCAGTGGGACTTCTCCGACCCTGCAACAAAAATCAGTTGTTCCTGTGCCAAGTATGAATACGTTGTTGTTTGTAGTTGTCCAAGATTCGTCTCATGACTTAGAATGCACATCATGAACAGAAGTTACATACACTTTAGTATGTTATGTTTGATTTAATTGTTCTGAAGTCTTAATAATTTTCTCTTGTTTAAAAAATATTTTGATAAATGGTCATGTCTTGGAATTTGTAAAATAGTCATTGTTGCATGATATAGATGGAAATTCAATCTCTTTTTTTTTTTCCAATAGTTGCATAAATTTAGTTTAGACACACTTTTTCATCTCCATTGCATGAAGCATGAAAGTTAACGTAATATTTTGTTACTAGTGCAGTATGTATGAATTTCACTACTGTATTTTGCTTCAGTATAATTCATTTTTCTTCTGTAGTATGGGTAACAAGTTTATTATATAATAAAATCAGCTTAAGTTTAATTATAGGTAAATACTTAGGCTGAAAAATAGATGTAGGAGCCTACTGTACTTTAATATTTGGAACTATAGGTTATGTTTATGGTAGAATTCTTGATGTGTAGATAGAATGAGTGTGGAATTGGGTGGGGAAAATTGTTGAATGGATGAGGTGTTTTAGCAAGGATACAGTAAGAGGTAGAGCCTCAAACCAGAAAACAAATTAGGTAATATTTGGATGTAGATAAAGTGAAAAGGTGCATGAAATGTGTGTGTAAATTATGGAGTGTAAGCTTATAAAAAATATACATACATATATATATATATATTTATACAGTACATACATACAAGAGGGGGGGGTGTAAGGCAATCTACTGTCATGGATGACAAATTTTCTGACAAGAATGTAAGCCGTGATCAGAGGCACTGCTTCAGCCTGGGTAAATGTTGCTAGTGGAGTTGTAGGAAGTTTGTCTCTAGCTGCTAGTGATGTTCATTGTCTATATAAATGATCTACCACGGGGGAGTTCCCAGCTATATAAATATGCTTGAAGATGATGCTGGGCTGCTGGCAAGAGTAAAGACTTGGAGGACTGTCATATCCTACAAAATGTCCTGGACGAAATAAGTGAACTGAGTAAAACATGACAGGTGGAATTCTGTGTAAATAAATGCCACATAGTGGAGTGTGGGAATAGAAAAGAACAAGCCACATGCAATGTATAAATTATGTGAAAAGATGTTAGAGAACTTTGTCAAAGAGAGAGATCTTGGGATGAGTCTGGATAGTCACCAGAGGACTATATGAGACATTATGAGTGGAGCCTGTGTGTGCTGCATTTAAAAACTTCGTACTCCAAAATTATGTTTAAGTACATGGAGAGAGAAATACAGTACCAAAGAAATTGTTCTTGATAGTTGAAACCAAAATTGGAATATGCAGCAGTTCTGCAGTTACATATCTCAAGATGCCCTTTCATAAATTAGGATGGGTGCAAAGACGTGCTACTAAATAGCTTTGGAACTGAAAAACAAGGTGTTAATTATGTCAAAGCTAGAAGATAGAAGGAAAAGAAGTGATATGACCACTGTATACACAGTAGGGACAGGAATAAACACAGTTGACAAGAAGGAATTTTCAAAACCTGCAACTTCAAGGACAAGAATCCATAGATTCAAGCTAAGGAAACGAAGTTGCCAAAAAATACATAGTACTGTATATGAAAGGTTTCTGTGAACAGTTATAAATGGTTAGAGCAATGTACATGATAAGATGGTGGCTGCCAAAACTATCAGGAGTATCAAAGTGTCATATGACAAAAATGATTGAGATAAAGGAACACCTTGAGCATAGCTCTCATCCAATGATTACATTTGCTTGCGGGTAAGCCGCTTCAGCTGTGAGCTCTAGGTTTTCATTGGTAAAGTCTGTAGGGAGGTTTGTGGGCTGTGAGCGGTGTCCCAGGAAACAGGTGTAACTAGAGCTTAACCATAAATTTTCTGGGTGACCGGTCAAGCAACTGGTTGGGGACCAGGCCGCAAGGATGATGAGCCCTGAAATCATCGGAAGGTAATCATCGCAAGGTAACGGTACAACTTGATGCAGAGATTATTAGAAATTTTAAGAAGGAAAAGGTAAATTTGGAATGTACAATACTAGCATCTTTAGAGCTGGCCACACTAGATTGGGAACAAGATAACAGCCAGCGTAAAGTGCCAGCTAGCAAAACAGGACTGAATTAGTGATGTAATGATGGAAAGTGATACTAAAACTGAAAAGCAAATTGTGCCTATTTGGGGGAATAAGATAAGCTAAAAAATGATGGAAAAAGATTGGTCAAATGCAGACCTCGTGTGGAAGGTTGGGTAAGGATGTACAGTAAAATGGCATGAACATGACGATTCTACGAGAAAATATCGAGACCATACCCTGGAATCGAATCCGTGTCCATGGACTTAAGGGTAAGATTACGCAACAGGAAAAATAATTTGATAAAGGTGATTACAAAATATTTGGAAGAGCACTGGAAGGAAATGGAACCTTAAGCTCAGGTGGTTAGAGACAGGGAGCTATTTTAGATTCTGTTGATGCAAACTAAATATCTAAGAATGATGCTTGGTGCAGAAGATAGTTTAGTGTTGCATAGTGTTGCACTAAGAATTACTACCCAAATGAAGCATCAGGAATCAGAATCAGTTGCTTAGCTAAGTAATACCCAGTACTATGACCAGGATTATTTATAATTCTTTATCATTATGGGGTGACTGCCTTACATTATACATTGTTTACATTATACACAGTGTACATGATGATTTGGGAGATAAATACAAATGTGTACAATGTAGATGAGCTGGGAGATGATGACTGATAATGTAATGATGCAAGCCTTGTTCACAAGTGTTTTCTGTGTAAATATTGATTGCAAAAACTATATATATACCATATATATATACAGCACCAATATGTGTTCATTTCATATATAAGAAATACAAACATTAATATTGATAAAGTGCTGTAAGTGGGTGATGTTAAGTAGACATTCATCACTTAGACATGTTTCATTTTTATTTTATGATTTGTAAAGAGTTTTATCATTTAGTGCAGCATAAGGAAAAGAGCTTAGGGATTGATTTGGACTTGGATGTACAGTTGCTGGGGCAGTCTTAAGCGATCATGTTCTTTACTAGAGAGAATGTTGGACTTTATAGGTTTTGATTTGAGTGTTATTCTAATAAACTGAAGCAAAATGGGGGGAACCGTTTATGGTTAAAACTATTTAGCATCGTAGTTTTTTCCTTCTCTCAAATCTGGATTTGACTAACATGAAAGGTTGGGTTTGCAAGTCCAAGTTTTGAGTGTTGTGGAACTGGCCGTTACAGATGCAGAAGGGGTCGGGTCAGTAGTAATGGGTGTAGCAGCAGTAAGGGCCGGGGAGAGAAAAGTGGTTGGGGAGGCGGGCGTCAACGAGGGGGCAGGTCGGCGAGCGGCTGTGCCCCCTTCCACAAGCGGCCCCCTCCAACTCCCCTACCCTCGCACGACGAGGCAGTCCTCGACCAGTGTGGCGTGGCAGCCATCGAAGAATCTGAACTAATCCAGGCTGCTGCCAGGTACCGCTGCTCACTCAATACGGCCATATTATCTATAGCATAATTATCCTATAATATTTATAATAATAATTTTTTCAGCTTTACCCATCATTCACATAATTATCATAATTAGGCAGTTTGTTCCTTTCATCCCATTCTATAACATTCTATAACTATGACACAAAATAAGGTATTTCCTGCTAGGGATAACGTGGAGTTTTGCAAGTTTGGTTTCTCATCAGGTATCTTGGGAACGCTTCATTGTATATACCATACTTAAAGTTGACAATATCTCATTATGATAAAACAAATTTTTTGTTTGTGGGGATTCCTAGCCTTTTCCAGGCCATTGCTAACTTTTGTGAGAACTTGTATTAATCCTCCCCCGTCCTCGTAACCCTGATGTGTGTTATCGTGCACACTACAACTAGTATTTATCAATGTTTGCTTTAAATAAAATCAACTTTGCCAAAATGATTTTATTTCTGATATAATACTACAAGAAAAATCTTTAAAAGAAATGTTTCTGGTAAAAATTTAGAATAAATTTTAGAATTAAAAAAAAAAAGAATAAACCTTCTCTGTTTATTCGCCATCCCCTACCTTGGGATATTCAAATTACTACCCAGTTGTGAATCCCGGGTAAAGTCCAATTTTTGTTCTCATATCTATAACTTTTCATAATGTTATTCTCACATTTTTTTTAGGCCGATACCTTGCCACCCCAGGTATTAATTATTATAATTATTATAATCCCTCACGTATACTAGACCAGGTAGTAGTATAATATGCTTACTGTGTATGATAATGCATTGGGAATTTTGGGTTTACTTGAAAGTAACAATAAAACCATGAGAATACAGAAAATGGCAGAAATCCTACTGGGCCAGTACTCGATAGCTGCTATTTATTTCCACTTAAATTGATTCACATATGTCTAATCTATGCTTGAAATAATGCAGGTATCCCACATCAGTTATGTTACCCAGTATAGTAATCTGTTCCATGAATCAACACCCTGTTTCCAAACCAGTATTTACCTTGGTCTTTCCTGCATAAAACTTCTGGCCAATGAGAAGAGGCCTTCTCTAGTAAAATAACTAGAGATAGTGATTTAAGATCATCTTTGGTAGGATTGTTATTTCTTGAAAGAAATAACAAGATAATGGATAAGCAGTATAGTTTGAACAAATTGACATAGGAACATGTCCTATGAGGTAGATCTGACTTTCCCATACTTTCCCATACTTTCTACATACTTTCTGAGATAGGAGAGGTAGATCTGACTTTCCCATAGTCACAGAAAGGTAAGCTGTACCATGAAGATTGGTGTAGTGGTCATTGTCTACCCTCCATTAAACACCAGAAGGCCCAGAAGGAATATGAAAAATACAGTAAAATCTACCTAAAGATCCTGAAATGTAAATATGGCTACAGTGGCAAGGAGAGCAAGAGAGCATATGATTTTAATATCAGGGAACTTAAACCACAAGAAGATATATTAATGAGCATTCCCACTTTGATAGCTAAATACGATGAGCAAAATTGATGGAGATGGTGCACAAACACATCTTGTGGTTACATATCATGATGCCAGCAAGAAAGAGGATAGGACCCACAAGCAACATTAGATCTGGTATTTCCCAAAATGAGAAACCTCGAAGCAGATAAGAATATAGGCCAGAGATTACCAAGTGATTACGTACTAGCTTGTGCTTGGCTTAGCTCTCTTGCTGCAGTACTTTCATTGCAGCCCTATGCTATCTTAAGGCCTCTGGGATATAGCTGCATAATGACTTTATTAAAGTAATTAATGGTACTCTGTTACTCATTAAGTTGTCTGGCAGTCATTTAATCTTGCTGCCGACTAAAGGTCTACCCCCAGGCTAACTACTGATGTTGCCTAGGATGCACCCCACAACAGTTGCCTGACTTCCTCATGCCTATATTACTGCTAGGTAAACAGGGACATCACAGGAAAGGAAACATTCCGAACTGTTTGTCCGGCCTCAGGACTAAACCTGGGTCTCTCGCTTGTGGAATTTCTGCTCTCAATTATGCCTTGATTGTCAAATTGGATCTAGGAAATTGTATTGGGCCAGTGTGTAGCAAAGATATTTGCCTTTATTTGGTCAATCTTGCTCTGATTGTAATTCATGTCATCAAGAAATAACACCGTTTTATTACTGGCTGACAGGCAAACTGAAATATACATGAAAAACATGAGGCATACAAATTACACTACATTGGAATCGAACTTGTATCCTTGGACACTACTGACATGTAAAATTTAAGTGACCTTGGATTATTCCGGTCACTTGTAATGTTTGTTTGTAGGTGCCGGCTGCATTGACACAATTGAGCCCTCTTTATTGTGCTCATACCTAGCAGTAGGATTACTGACACTCAGATGTGTGTGTGTGTAGTGCTCATGGGTGCAGTATGCATAAATATTAAATTGTCACATAGATTATAAATTTGCTCACCAAATAACAAAAAAATTGTTTAGCATGTTTGCCGCCGATGTGTCAATATACACCCATGTACCTCCTTCGTCAGTAGACTCCCTCTTCTCATGCTGCCTCTCACAATGAACCAAGCGGGCATGGGTAGGCTTAGCATTGCAAATGAATATTAAACAAAAACAATAAAGTTTGCAAAACGTGGAATCTTCCTAAGGTACCTAAGGTATCTTCCTAAGGTTGGTGTCACAATGTACTTGCCTAATTGTACTAACCTTGTGCTTACAGGGGGTTGAGCTTTGGCTCTTTGGTCTTGCCTCGTGAATGTCAGTCAACTTGTGTACAGGTTCCCGAGCCTATTGGCCTCATATTACATCTACATTTGAAACTGTGAACAGAGTCAGCTTTCACCACCTCACTTCCTAATGCATTCCATTTATTAACTACTGACACTGAATAAATTCTTTTCGATGTGTGTGGCTCATTTAGATACCCAATTTCCATCTGTCCTCTCTTGTGCAAGTATCACCCATGTTAAATAATGTCATCTATCCTGTCAGTTCCCCTGAGAATTTTGTATGTGGTAATTGTGTGTCTCCTTACTCTTCTGTCCTCTAGCAATGTGAGGCACAATACACACAGCCTTTCCTGATAACTCGGTTCTGGAACTAGTTTGGTGGCATACTTTTGAACCTTCTCCAATTTCATTTTATGCTTGACAAGATATGGACACCATGCTAGAGCTGCACATTCTAGGATTGGTCTGACATATGTGGTGTACAAGGTTCTAAATGATTCTATACACAAATTTCTGAAGGCAGTTCTGATGTTAGTCAGCCTCACATACATTACTGATGATATCCCTTTTATGTGGGCTTCAGGAGACAGGTTTGGCATGATGTCAACTTCTAAATCGTTCTCTCTGTTTCTTGGAGGACTTTAGTCTCTCATTTGATACCTGTATCTGGCTTTCTGCTCCCTCCACCTAGCTTTATTACTCTACCATTACCTGAGGTGAACTCTAGTAGCAATTTATTGGACCAGCCTCTTTTTGCTATCTTCCTCCTCATAACTTTTGCATCATCAGCAACCATTGAGAGGAATGAGTCTATTCTCTCTGGGAGATCGTTTACATACAGTACTGTATATCGGAAACAGGATAGGACTCGGGACTAAACCCTTTGGGAGTCCACTAGTGATGTCTTGCCACTCTGAGACCTTGCCCCTCAAAGTGACACACTATCTTCTGTTGCTTAGATACTCCTTTATCCACTGGAGTACCTTCCCTGTTACTCCTGCCTGCATCTCCAGCTTGTGCACTAGTCTCTTGAGGGGTAAAGTCTTGTGAAAGGCTTTCTGCCAATCCAAAAATACGCACTCTGTCCACCCCTTCTCTTTCTTGCCTAATTTTTGTCACCTGGTCAATGAATTCTATTAAACTTGTGAGGCAAGATCTGCCATCCCTGAACCCATGCTGGTGACGTGTTAGAAAGTTTTCTCTCTCCAGATGTTCTACTGTTTTTTGTCACAAACTTCTCCATCACCTTGCATGGTATGCAAGTTAAGACATTGACCTGTAGTTCGATGCCTCCAGCCTGTCTCCCTTCGTGTATTTCAGGACTGTGTTAGCCGTCTTCCAAATTTTTGGCAGTTCTGTTACTGGTGACTTGTTATACACCATTGAGAGTGGTAGGCATAGTGCTGCTATTACCTTATTTTGGTATCAATATTCTATCTGGAACATTAGTTTTTCACACATACAATTTAATCAAATGCTTCCTTACCTTTCCACTGGTAATCTCACATTCCTACAATGATGCCTGGTTAGACATTCCCTCTCTTATCTCTGGAACGTCTCCTTGCTTTGTTGTGAAGACTTCCAGGAATCTCTTACTGAGTTTCTCACACACTACCTTGTCATTTGTAGTGAACCTTTCTGCCCCTATTCTCGGTTTTATTACCTGTTCCTTCACTGTTGTTTTTCTTATGGTGTGGCTATGCAGCAATTTGGGTTAGGTTTTTGCTTTATTTGCTATGTCATTTTTGTACTGTCATTCTGCTTCTCTTCTCACCCTGAGGTACTCTTTCCTGGCCCTCTTGATATCTTCCTCTGCTATCTTCCTCTGCTCTGGTATCGTTGTCTGCCTCTCTGGTATCTTCCTCTGCTCTCTGGTGTCCTGTTCTTTCTGTAGTTTCTTCATGCCTGGTCAGAGACTGGGCAGCAGGGATGTTGATCCCTTAAATCAACGCAAGGTAAGCCCTTGTACTAATATGCTTTGCCGCCATACATCCCTGATTAAACCATTGACTCCTCATTTGCATTGTTGTTGTTTTCCTTATGAACTGAACAAACTTGTATGCTGCCTCCTTGCACATCTGGGTGATTTAGTCCATCACCCAGATGTGAGCAGTAAATGGTTGTGCAGCATTTTATCTGAGCTCTGTTTCCTATGGTATTTTTATTAGGAATTTTCTCATCTCATCATAGTTTCTCTTTCGGTATGCCAGTCATTTGTATTTTGATCTCTTACCCGGAGCACGCCCGGAGATTGTTCTGGG